TGTACCTGCATATGAGACTTTTCATTATTAGAGGTAGTCCTTCGTATAACTGAGTATTTATAACACTCATTTTTCATGAGTGATAGCGTAGCTAGAGTGAGTTATAGCAGTTAGTTTGGGAAGAAATAGATATCTCTCTCGATCAGTCCATGGATCGTAATTTTGGGGGTAATTCTACTGACCAGGGTATTTCGCAAGAGGGCGACATTTGCCTGACCATTGTGAACAAAATGGTTGCCAAATTAAATACTATTATTACTACTACTAAAGGTGGGTGTATAATTCGATCCATCGACCGCTTTAACAGTGGCTGTTAACCGAAACGTTCACACCCGAGAAGTGTTTTTCTTCCGCTAATTATTTCAAATTTCCATACCATCTCATTTTCTTGTATATTTACATTAGTTTTTGGGTTTAGCTTTTTAATTTTTATCTTTATTTGCTAATACCTATGTAAAAGCAAACTATCCGTCAGTAGCTCTAAGGAAAAAAAATAAAGTCCCACAACAGGATTTGAACCTCCGATCTCGACCGCCAACTTCACCCGGCTGGAACCTTACCACTTTGCCAACGTGCAATTTATGAATTATTCGTGAGAGAATATCTATAAATTCGTCACAGTTGGGTATAAACCGCTGATTGATTTATTGAACGACTGATGACTCACTGCGGAGTAAAATAATTCGCACAGCGAGCTTCCGGCGAGCGACTACGTATTCAAATGGCAGATCATTTCTGCTGGAAATCACTCAATTTGCTAACCAAAGGACTTGTTTTACTGGCCATGTTATCTCTTCATAGATATTTTTTAGATGCAGGACAGGTTTTTTTTTCTCAATCTCCACTGAAGGCAGAAGATCGCTTGGCGCGTACTCGTAAACGTCATCTGAAAAAGCGCATGGTGTACATTTCTAAAACCTTAGCGGTTCGTCATTTGGTCAGTTTGGGGCTTACTCTTGCCGGTGTGAGTAATTTCGATCCTCTGATATTTTTTTACTGCAATGAAGGAATGAAGATGTTTGTAATAAATTATGTCCTAAGGACAGAAACATCGATATCAGAATAGCCCTCGACTCCTGACTGGGGTAATTCTAAAGGCGGGGGGACATAAAATAAATGTGGATTTGGTCTCAATTAATAGAAATTAAGTTGACTATTAATAGTTCTTTACCTATAAAGTACTGTGTACGTGTACATAACACATTCAGTTTTCCGTTAGAACTCATCTAGTACTTTATAAGCAATTATTTATAGTTATTATGTGTAAATTAATGACTTAATTTATGCTGTGTCGCGCAGCATACAAACTCCTCAAAATCTTTTTGACCGCTTGTCATATGTGGTGCATGAAACATGACCGTTTCAAATACAGTGGAACCCCGCTCATACGGTCACCAACGGGTCTTGAAAATTTGGCGCGGCGTATTAACGGGGTGGCCGTATTAATGGGGTAGGGTCAAATTTCATGATTGGTCTAAATTGACTGTCGTCTTCACAGATATCTCAAAATTGCACTTCTAAACAACTGTTCTTTTATCAGCATCCGGAATGCAGATATAATTTTTCAAAAAATGAAACGTCAAACAGTACATACAATATCAACAAAGGAAAGATGAACATAACTGGTTTGAGTGGCCATATAAACGGGGTAAAATTATAAAGGACTATACAGGTTGCGATATCAGAATGTGGCGGTTGGCCGTATTAACAGGGTGGCCACATTAACGGGGTTTTCTTATCAGAAAATGTATGGGCGTTTCCCTGGGACCAAAAAAGACTGGCTGTAATAACGAGGTGACCTCAAGACCGAGTTCCACTGTATCACGAGTTGGTTTAAAAGCATTTTGATCTTTTTTCTTTGACAGTTATTTATTTTCAATGTAAAATAGGAAATTAAAAAAAACTCAAATGAACGCTCGGTGAAAACACTTTTGCTGCTACTTTCCATTAAAAAATAAATAAAACTTAATGGCTTACTGTAAACCATACATGTGTATACCCGTTGGGCCGATTATATGTTAAGGCCATATTAGTATGGTCTATATAACATGATAATGATGGCTTAAAATCATGTTTTTATCGACAATTAGGGATATAATAAGACAATATCAAGTAAATGTATTATGCATAAACCTCAACCTTAGCTTACATTTGTACGGAAAACATTTTTTCACCTTATGTCATCAAACCTGTGGTAGCAATGCTTTTGAGGAAAGCATTGCTAGACTCTCTTTGACTCAAGCAAGAGCTATTTAAAGGTGACTTGATCTTTCAAAATATGGATAAAAAGCGAGGAATAAAATTTTGCAACCGAAGCAACTATTTACACAACCAAACAGACGTACCTTACATGAGGGTATTGTCTCAGTAGAACCAGCCAAAAACATAACACAGTTTTCTATGAGGCGCTCGTTTGTCACTTTATGAGAGACAAAACTATTCATGAAATAATCGCCGCGCTAGTTTATAGATCAAAACAATCAGACAGCATTCCAATGCAGCAAGTTCACTTCCCACTTTTTCCTCCTTTGTAAGAAGAAGTGCAAATCAGACTTTCCAGTTGATAATTAATTTATGTTTGCTTTACGTCTGTACTAAATACAGGCGTATTTTAGGCTAGCAAATACTGAATATTTCGAGCGTTTATGCCGGCATCTAGGGTAAGGAAGACAGGAGGTGCAGGATTAATGACCAAAAACTATCAAGGGAATAGGAGATGGGCAAAAGACTGACCCACTTTACGCCAATCCAAGATGGCGTCTAACAACAACAGAAAATCTCCTGCAAGCTAACTGGGTTGTGCACTTACTACTGGTAGTCTATTTGATGGAGCTCATATTATTATTTTTCTGTTCCATTTCTGATTTAACTTACATTCTATTTTAAACAAACAAATTCACCTAAACTGAAGTCTCACGATTTTCCGGACGATCCATCCCATATATTCTCATGAGCCGTGCTTCGGCACGCGTCTGCTGATAACGGCGCATGCGTCGCATGCGCCTCAGTTCCTCGTGGAGGTCACGCCGCATCAACATGGAAGGGGGCAGCTGCCTGCTCTGTGATAGGTCATCTTGTTCGTCCGTCTCAATCTTACGACACACGCAGATAACCTTAACAGCCACTGTTCTAAACCTGTAAAAATACAAAGCCGTTAACGAGCTGAAAATCCGACAGTAGGGAGCTTAAGCAAACCACGTCGGCAATAGCAACGCTAACGTCACCAAACAAAAGGTTTAATGAGCAGCACAATTGCTAATATATGCACGTGCGTTATAAATCCTTGTACATTTCTTTGCCGTCCTCTGCAAAAAAAACATGTGAAATGACCAAATTCTGCGTACCTTGGGGAACGTGAATCATGATGTCTAATTTTTCGTATTTCTCAATGAATTGATCGCTCACATCACATATTTAATTAGAGCGGGTTCTTAGACCGATCGGCGTCTTTAAGAGATCTAAATAACTGCGAAATCCAAAGGCAAAATATTAATGTATTTTTTATTAGGCTAAGTTCTTGGCGTCGCCGTCGTCATTGGCTAAGTTTCCAAATAAGAGCCAAAGGCCAACGCACAGACGCAAGAATACTTTTAGGGTATCGGTTAGTGTTGGATTGGAAGTTGTGGAGTTTGTTAGTTTTTTAAGGTAGACTACTACGTTAGTACTGATTTGGGCCGCAAAAGGTTTTGCTTTTAGTTTAATCGGCGTTCAATTCCGTTCAATTAATACATCATTTTCAAAAGTAAACACCGTTATGAGTCAATTTAGGCACCCCGGTTGTCAGCTGACTCGGAAGCGCATTATTTCGGTACGTTACAGGTCATGATATATGTCATATTTACTCCGACATTTTCTAAATTCTCCTCACCGTTTGCTCACAAGCAGGCAGATAAGCGGGTTGAAGACGGCGCTAGCCTTGGCGATTATTCCAGGAATGAATGATGTCGCCGGATCGAACATCTCCGGGCCACCGAACACGGACATCATGGCACATGCATAATATGGCGTCCAACCGACAACGAAGATTATTACACCGATTAATATCATGATAACCGCCTTCTTTGCCCTTTTACGGTCCCTTGACGCTGTCGCGTTGACGTCTGGTACATACGATGACCTCTGGTACATTTTGACGAAGTAAGCTACGGAAAATCCCAGGGGAATTACGAAGGCAAAAATGACCAGCAGCACGGAATATATGCGTCCGGCGGGGTTTTCTTCGCGCCAATTTGGAGCACAGACTGTGTCACCTGATTCAAAATTGAATGAACCCCAGCCTACTAGGGGAGGGAACATTATAGCAATCCCGTACAACCAAGTGCCCGTCAACGTCTTGATAATCTTGTGACGTTCCCAGGTGTCCCGCTCGGCAAAAGCCATTTCAAGTTCCATGTCGTCGTCGCTCAGCTTGCGATGGATCTTGAGGATACACAGTGCCAACGTGACAACAGTTGATATGCATCCGACACACGACAGGAAACCTACAATCTGACAAAAAAATGAAACTGTACCTCAGTTAAGGAGTAAGAAAGTTCTTATCTTAGTGAGCGAGAACGTCCGCGCTCAACTTTGCGCTCAGAGTCTTCGTTCCACTTGACCAGCGGTCGAGGAATGGAAAGTTCTGATTGGAAGTCCGGAAATATCGGACTTCCGGTTGAACTGCGCATGCATACCTGACAAACACGTGGGTTAATCGAGTTGCTAATGTTCTACTTCCGCTAATTTCCATTGTTTTTAAACCAATCAAAATTCGAGCCTTTAACGGAACTCTCGAGACTCTTGAGAGTCGCTTTCTTTGTCAAGTTTGCGCGGGAAGGATGGAAAACTCGAGGAACGATTTCCCTGGCTTGAAACGAAAGGACTGGGGCTAGTCCCTCTTGGACAGGAAACTGGTTCATCGCAGGTCACTACCCAACATTTTTCAGGCTGCTCTCACTTCTTCCTGGGAAGGCTTTGTAAGAGTAATGTGTCTTGTTATAACAAGAACTCGACGACAAGAAAGAAAAAAAACGACATTTCTATTTCTTTGTCACTCTTCCCGTATGAGCAATTTTAGTTACGCTTTTAGCTTGGTACGCCGTGTTTTTTAAAGTAATGATTTCAAATGAATTACTCATCAGATCAGTTGAAAAGCCGGCCAACTGGTGCGAAGCTAACTAGCTGTCTGTTTATATGCCGAGAACATGTACAATTCCCACCAATGGGCCTGCTTTGGGAGACATGGCGCCAGGAGCATATATACATTTGGCTACGGTCTCGAGATCTCCAAACGTGACAACAACTTAAAGGTATAGATCATGCCGTCAAACTCTCCTGTCCAGCAGAACCGAGTGACTGAAATATGATTACAGTGGAATCGCCAACTGGCCATCAAGAATTTGGCCATATTAACGAGGTGGTCGTAGTAAAGGCGTTGTTATTAAAGAGAGGAAAAAATGACTGACTAGCTATCTAGGCCAAAAACAGTGCTCGTATAACGATGGAGATAACCGGGTTCCACTGTATAGTAGAGTTGTTAGAATANAACGTGACAACAACTTAAAGGTATAGATCATGCCGTCAAACTCTCCTGTCCAGCAGAACCGAGTGACTGAAATATGATTACAGTGGAATCGCCAACTGGCCATCAAGAATTTGGCCATATTAACGAGGTGGTCGTAGTAAAGGCGTTGTTATTAAAGAGAGGAAAAAATGACTGACTAGCTATCTAGGCCAAAAACAGTGCTCGTATAACGATGGAGATAACCGGGTTCCACTGTATAGTAGAGTTGTTAGAATATTTTCTCTTACACAACAGTATCAGGACCGTAACTAGAAAAAGAATTATGACTGAGGCAGTGTCCATGGCTAAATTCTCTTCCTAGGTATTTTAAAGCAGTGTATTACTTTCCTCCTCCAAAACAAAAAACGAAAAAATGACTGAGGCAAGTGCCTCGGTTTGCCTCATAATGGCTACAAGTGTACGGCCTTGAGTACCCACTTTCGACCACATTTCGTTATAAATGAACAGACTTGTGATTGTTTTGATGAGTGCATCAAAACCCAAACGTAGCACTATCTGTGAGGTGCAACCAATCCCTAGAGATTCCTATGGCAAAGACAATTTCTCCACTCCACGTGAAAGAACCAAAGATGACGTTACCAAGAGGAACTTCGCCCGTTCAGCTCTCTCAGTGTTTTGACTCTTGATGTAACTAGAATATGCCCGGCATAAGTAAACTATGTTTCTGGCGAACAAAAGATGTCAAATTTGCAATGCCAAATGAGGGGGCAGTTGTGCGGAGCAAATTGGAACGTTATAATCAATGAATGTTCGTAAATGACGCATAATTGCCAAAAAATATTGCCAGTTTTCGAAGGAACAGAAAAATGGCCATTTTTTTTAATCAGCTACTCCGTGGCATTGCGAGAAAATGGTGATTTGTAAAATCATTTAGATATTCATAGTTAGGTCGTGGTTGCGATGTTCTATTTAGTAGAATATTATTCAAAAAGGAAAAAGAATTAAAGTATATTGCGTTCTAGTAACCTGGAAGTACGACCCGATTGTTTACCGTTCACTGGATGTCGAAAAGCAGAATTTTGTTTCCAAAGACAAACAAGTACTTCATAGCCTTAGTCGTCGTTAATTAGCTACAACTTACTAATCAAAGAATTGCTGTTGACAAAATTAGAAAATCAGTGAAAATTAGCGTCGATTATTGCCCCCGCAGGGTTTTGACCCAGAGACCAAAACCCGAGGAGGCACCCTAGGATTTCCCGCGTGTATATATACAAGGTCATACAAGGAATTTCAAAAAAGTAAGAAATGTGTTGGTAGTATGCGAAGCGTTCTCGATTTGATGAAACTAGGCGCGCACAGTGGTCTCGGGTAATGTGGGGCAAGGAACGCGGGCTCACAAAACGGCTGGAAATAGACCCAGGTGGTGTCGGGGATTCAAGGTTCTTACGAGTTCGCCTTTCGCCATCTTATAGCGGCATTTCAAGATTCTTGTAACCACGAGTTCGCGTTTCGACATCCTCGAGCAGCATTTCAAAGTCTCCCAACCACGAGTTCGCATTTCGCCATCTTCGAGCAGCATTTCAAGGTCAAAAATACACTCCAATTACAGTATGGCCCGCATGACGATTTTAGTGCGATCAAATAAATTCGCTTCGAAATGGCCGAGATTCTCATCTAGGACAAATTGAAAACTATTTCAAATATCCTGAAGGTAGATTTTGGGAGAAAAACAACTCAGAAGGTATCGTAAGAAATTCTGAAGTAAACTAGAAACTCGAGGCCAGTGTGGTTAATTGCAACTAAAGAGCTAAATGACCTTCCGATCGCCAGTTTTACATTTGGCATCTCGTTTATTCGGATCGCTTATTTGTATTGAGTAATCCTACGTGGCGTAGAGCTCATGTGTGGGCTGGGTGACTTTGCAGGGATCCAGGTGTAACTGTAAATGTAAATGTTTTGCAGCGTTTTCGTTGAGGTAAAAAAGCTCGACTCTAATTTGCATATATGGGGACTGTAACGCGATACTTCTTTTTACGTCTCGGAAAAAAAAACTCAACTTCCGTTCTGCTTTCGAGATATGTTTGCTCATATATCAATACAAATGGTTTGTTTCAGCATCAAATTGGAAAAGCTATAATTTTTTAACTTTTTTTTCCCTATAAAGTTCTACTGAGTGAAAGTTTTGTAAAAAAAATATTGGTTTCCATGAGGGCAACCTATTTTTTTCCAGAAAGTACTTTTTGCGTCCTTTCTAACGAGATATGGTAAACTGCTCTGCTGTAAATGCTTCGTGAGAGTATTATGTAAAGAATATCATGTGACAGAATGAGTGAAACAGAATGTGTTGGTTTATTTAACTTCATTGATTGTTTGGACCATATTCATGTCACGATGCCTAAGTTACTGGAACAGTATGAGTGATATAGTTTACAAAAAAAATGAAAGTTTTAGGTCATACAGTAATGTTCAATATTATTGTTTTCAATCAGCAGAAATAAAAGAAAGCGGGGGCAGATTTAGTGATAACTATTACTAGTCTAACATATATTAGCNACATTTGGCATCTCGTTTATTCGGATCGCTTATTTGTATTGAGTAATCCTACGTGGCGTAGAGCTCATGTGTGGGCTGGGTGACTTTGCAGGGATCCAGGTGTAACTGTAAATGTAAATGTTTTGCAGCGTTTTCGTTGAGGTAAAAAAGCTCGACTCTAATTTGCATATATGGGGACTGTAACGCGATACTTCTTTTTACGTCTCGGAAACAAAAACTCAACTTCCGTTCTGCTTTCGAGATATGTTTGCTCGTATATCAATACAAATGGTTTGTTTCAGCATCAAATTGGAAAAGCTATAATTTTTTAACTTTTTTTCCCCTATAAAGTTCTACTGAGTGAAAGTTTTGTAAAAAAAAAATTGGTTTCCATGAGGGCAACCTATTTTTCCAGAAAGTACTTTTTGCGTCCTTTCTAACGAGATATGGTAAACTGCTCTGCTGTAAATGCTTCGTGAGAGTATTATGTAAAGAATATCATGTGACAGAATGAGTGAAACAGAATGTGTTGGTTTATTTAACTTCATTGATTGTTTGGACCATATTCATGTCACGATGCCTAAGTTACTGGAACAGTATGAGTGATATAGTTTACAAAAAAAATGAAAGTTTTAGGTCATACAGTAATGTTCAATATTATTGTTTTCAATCAGCAGAAATAAAAGAAAGCGGGGGCAGATTTAGTGATAACTATTACTAGTCTAACATATATTAGCATGGCGCATCAGTAAATCAGCATTTTTGTCGATACGTTTCCGTGTTTCGGTAAATGTCGATGAGATTTTTCCCTCACTGTGGCGAGACGTGAGTTCACATTACGACTAATCTCTTACCTGGTAATATATCTCCCAAGCATATTTTCCATCTTTTTGTCTATGTGTTTTCGTGTTTCAGTTAATGTCGATGAGATTTTTCCCTCACTCTGGCGAGACGTGAGTTCACATTACGACTAATCTCTTACCTGGCAGAATATGTCCCCAAGCATATTTTCCATCTTTTTGTCTATGTGTTTTCGTGTTTCAGTTAATGTCGATGAGATTTTTCCCTCACTCTGGCGAGACGTGAGTTCACATTACGACTAATCTCTTACCTGGCAGAATATGTCCCCAAGCATATTTTCCATCTTTTTGTCTATGTGTTTTCGTGTTTCAGTTAATGTCGATGAGATTTTTCCCTCACTCTGGCGAGACGTGAGTTCACATTACGACTAATCTCTTACCTGGCAGAATATGTCCCCAAGCATATTTTCCATCTTTTTGTCTATGTGTTTTCGTGTTTCAGTTAATGTCGATGAGATTTTTCCCTCACTCTGGCGAGACGTGAGTTCACATTACGACTAATCTCTTACCTGGCAGAATATGTCCCCAAGCATATTTTCCATCTTTTTGTCTATGTGTTTTCGTGTTTCAGTTAATGTCGATGAGATTTTTCCCTCACTCTGGCGAGACGTGAGTTCACATTACGACTAATCTCTTACCTGGCAGAATATGTCCCCAAGCATATTTTCCATCTTTTTGTCTATGTGTTTTCGTGTTTCAGTTAATGTCGATGAGATTTTTCCCTCACTCTGGCGAGACGTGAGTTCACATTACGACTAATCTCTTACCTGGCAGAATATGTCCCCAAGCATATTTTCCATCTTTTTGTCTATGTGTTTTCGTGTTTCAGTTAATGTCGATGAGATTTTTCCCTCACTCTGGCGAGACGTGAGTTCACATTACGACTAATCTCTTACCTGGCAGAATATGTCCCCAAGCATATTTTCCATCTTTTTGTCTATGTGTTTTCGTGTTTCAGTTAATGTCGATGAGATTTTTCCCTCACTCTGGCGAGACGTGAGTTCACATTACGACTAATCTCTTACCTGGCAGAATATGTCCCCAAGCATATTTTCCATCTTTTTGTCTATGTGTTTTCGTGTTTCAGTTAATGTCGATGAGATTTTTCCCTCACTCTGGCGAGACGTGAGTTCACATTACGACTAATCTCTTACCTGGCAGAATATGTCCCCAAGCATATTTTCCATCTTTTTGTCTATGTGTTTTCGTGTTTCAGTTAATGTCGATGAGATTTTTCCCTCACTCTGGCGAGACGTGAGTTCACATTACGACTAATCTCTTACCTGGCAGAATATGTCCCCAAGCATATTTTCCATCTTTTTGTCTATGTGTTTTCGTGTTTCAGTTAATGTCGATGAGATTTTTCCCTCACTCTGGCGAGACGTGAGTTCACATTACGACTAATCTCTTACCTGGCAGAATATGTCCCCAAGCATATTTTCCATCTTTTTGTCTATGTGTTTTCGTGTTTCAGTTAATGTCGATGAGATTTTTCCCTCACTCTGGCGAGACGTGAGTTCACATTACGACTAATCTCTTACCTGGCAGAATATGTCCCCAAGCATATTTTCCATCTTTTTGTCTATGTGTTTTCGTGTTTCAGTTAATGTCGATGAGATTTTTCCCTCACTCTGGCGAGACGTGAGTTCACATTACGACTAATCTCTTACCTGGCAGAATATGTCCCCAAGCATATTTTCCATCTTTTTGTCTATGTGTTTTCGTGTTTCAGTTAATGTCGATGAGATTTTTCCCTCACTCTGGCGAGACGTGAGTTCACATTACGACTAATCTCTTACCTGGCAGAATATGTCCCCAAGCATATTTTCCATCTTTTTGTCTATGTGTTTTCGTGTTTCAGTTAATGTCGATGAGATTTTTCCCTCACTCTGGCGAGACGTGAGTTCACATTACGACTAATCTCTTACCTGGCAGAATATGTCCCCAAGCATATTTTCCATCTTTTTGTCTATGTGTTTTCGTGTTTCAGTTAATGTCGATGAGATTTTTCCCTCACTCTGGCGAGACGTGAGTTCACATTACGACTAATCTCTTACCTGGCAGAATATGTCCCCAAGCATATTTTCCATCTTTTTGTCTATGTGTTTTCGTGTTTCAGTTAATGTCGATGAGATTTTTCCCTCACTCTGGCGAGACGTGAGTTCACATTACGACTAATCTCTTACCTGGCAGAATATGTCCCCAAGCATATTTTCCATCTTTTTGTCTATGTGTTTTCGTGTTTCAGTTAATGTCGATGAGATTTTTCCCTCACTCTGGCGAGACGTGAGTTCACATTACGACTAATCTCTTACCTGGCAGAATATGTCCCCAAGCATATTTTCCATCTTTTTGTCTATGTGTTTTCGTGTTTCAGTTAATGTCGATGAGATTTTTCCCTCACTCTGGCGAGACGTGAGTTCACATTACGACTAATCTCTTACCTGGCAGAATATGTCCCCAAGCATATTTTCCATCTTTTTGTCTATGTGTTTTCGTGTTTCAGTTAATGTCGATGAGATTTTTCCCTCACTCTGGCGAGACGTGAGTTCACATTACGACTAATCTCTTACCTGGCAGAATATGTCCCCAAGCATATTTTCCATCTTTTTGTCTATGTGTTTTCGTGTTTCAGTTAATGTCGATGAGATTTTTCCCTCACTCTGGCGAGACGTGAGTTCACATTACGACTAATCTCTTACCTGGCAGAATATGTCCCCAAGCATATTTTCCATCTTTTTGTCTATGTGTTTTCGTGTTTCAGTTAATGTCGATGAGATTTTTCCCTCACTCTGGCGAGACGTGAGTTCACATTACGACTAATCTCTTACCTGGCAGAATATGTCCCCAAGCATATTTTCCATCTTTTTGTCTATGTGTTTTCGTGTTTCAGTTAATGTCGATGAGATTTTTCCCTCACTCTGGCGAGACGTGAGTTCACATTACGACTAATCTCTTACCTGGCAGAATATGTCCCCAAGCATATTTTCCATCTTTTTGTCTATGTGTTTTCGTGTTTCAGTTAATGTCGATGAGATTTTTCCCTCACTCTGGCGAGACGTGAGTTCACATTACGACTAATCTCTTACCTGGCAGAATATGTCCCCAAGCATATTTTCCATCTTTTTGTCTATGTGTTTTCGTGTTTCAGTTAATGTCGATGAGATTTTTCCCTCACTCTGGCGAGACGTGAGTTCACATTACGACTAATCTCTTACCTGGCAGAATATGTCCCCAAGCATATTTTCCATCTTTTTGTCTATGTGTTTTCGTGTTTCAGTTAATGTCGATGAGATTTTTCCCTCACTCTGGCGAGACGTGAGTTCACATTACGACTAATCTCTTACCTGGCAGAATATGTCCCCAAGCATATTTTCCATCTTTTTGTCTATGTGTTTTCGTGTTTCAGTTAATGTCGATGAGATTTTTCCCTCACTCTGGCGAGACGTGAGTTCACATTACGACTAATCTCTTACCTGGCAGAATATGTCCCCAAGCATATTTTCCATCTTTTTGTCTATGTGTTTTCGTGTTTCAGTTAATGTCGATGAGATTTTTCCCTCACTCTGGCGAGACGTGAGTTCACATTACGACTAATCTCTTACCTGGCAGAATATGTCCCCAAGCATATTTTCCATCTTTTTGTCTATGTGTTTTCGTGTTTCAGTTAATGTCGATGAGATTTTTCCCTCACTCTGGCGAGACGTGAGTTCACATTACGACTAATCTCTTACCTGGCAGAATATGTCCCCAAGCATATTTTCCATCTTTTTGTCTATGTGTTTTCGTGTTTCAGTTAATGTCGATGAGATTTTTCCCTCACTCTGGCGAGACGTGAGTTCACATTACGACTAATCTCTTACCTGGCAGAATATGTCCCCAAGCATATTTTCCATCTTTTTGTCTATGTGTTTTCGTGTTTCAGTTAATGTCGATGAGATTTTTCCCTCACTCTGGCGAGACGTGAGTTCACATTACGACTAATCTCTTACCTGGCAGAATATGTCCCCAAGCATATTTTCCATCTTTTTGTCTATGTGTTTTCGTGTTTCAGTTAATGTCGATGAGATTTTTCCCTCACTCTGGCGAGACGTGAGTTCACATTACGACTAATCTCTTACCTGGCAGAATATGTCCCCAAGCATATTTTCCATCTTTTTGTCTATGTGTTTTCGTGTTTCAGTTAATGTCGATGAGATTTTTCCCTCACTCTGGCGAGACGTGAGTTCACATTACGACTAATCTCTTACCTGGCAGAATATGTCCCCAAGCATATTTTCCATCTTTTTGTCTATGTGTTTTCGTGTTTCAGTTAATGTCGATGAGATTTTTCCCTCACTCTGGCGAGACGTGAGTTCACATTACGACTAATCTCTTACCTGGCAGAATATGTCCCCAAGCATATTTTCCATCTTTTTGTCTATGTGTTTTCGTGTTTCAGTTAATGTCGATGAGATTTTTCCCTCACTCTGGCGAGACGTGAGTTCACATTACGACTAATCTCTTACCTGGCAGAATATGTCCCCAAGCATATTTTCCATCTTTTTGTCTATGTGTTTTCGTGTTTCAGTTAATGTCGATGAGATTTTTCCCTCACTCTGGCGAGACGTGAGTTCACATTACGACTAATCTCTTACCTGGCAGAATATGTCCCCAAGCATATTTTCCATCTTTTTGTCTATGTGTTTTCGTGTTTCAGTTAATGTCGATGAGATTTTTCCCTCACTCTGGCGAGACGTGAGTTCANAAAGTTTTAGGTCATACAGTAATGTTCAATATTATTGTTTTCAATCAGCAGAAATAAAAGAAAGCGGGGGCAGATTTAGTGATAACTATTACTAGTCTAACATATATTAGCATGGCGCATCAGTAAATCAGCATTTTTGTCGATACGTTTCCGTGTTTCGGTAAATGTCGATGAGATTTTTCCCTCACTGTGGCGAGACGTGAGTTCACATTACGACTAATCTCTTACCTGGTAATATATCTCCCAAGCATATTTTCCATCTTTTTGTCTATGTGTTTTCGTGTTTCAGTTAATGTCGATGAGATTTTTCCCTCACTCTGGCGAGACGTGAGTTCACATTACGACTAATCTCTTACCTGGCAGTATATCTCCCCAAGCATATTTTCCATATTTTTGTCTACGTGTTTCCGTGTTTCAGTGAATGTCTATGAAATTTTTCCCTCACTCTAGCGAGACATGAATTCACATTACGTCCAATGTCTTACCTGGCAGTATATCTCTCCAAGCATATTTTCCTGAGCCCAGGCAGACGCGATAGTGGGTGGAAAATCCACTAATACGACCACGCTATTGGCAATCATGATGTTGAGGAAATATGGAGACAGATCGAACTGTTTAAATGCCGGCTGCATCAAAACCAGCAATGTGAACGCCTGGAACGCACATCCCACTGTCAACAGGACTACCATGCTTGTGCCCAACCCAAAGAACTCTCCATCGCTCAGCAGAGACATTTCACCGAGCGACTTGACTACGTTTTTCTGATCGGACCGATGAATATACTTTTCGGTGGCATTTAATGCAGATGAAATGCTCTACTGTCCTGTTGTTTTTCGACTTAGTTTTCAGATCAAGGCGGCCGACTTCCCTCCACTGACGTCATCGATTCTGACAGGAAATACTCGTTTTGTGACAATGGTCTTGTTCTTCAATGGCGATTTACTGATTCGCATGCTTTTTTACGCCTCGTCTACACAAAGTCGGAGAAATTTTAAAACGACGTTGTCACTTTAGAAATGCATCAAATGTTTTCCGTCCACACTACGACGGAGAAATTGAAGACGAAACAACTCGGGCAGAGAAATCACATGATTATCGTGACGTCATCGTGTTCGAAAAGCTACGTTTTCAAAATGTTTCCCGTTCACACGAAAACGCAAAGCCGGCGTTTTCAAATTCCTCCGGTTTGAAGAGCGTTTTCGAAAAGTTCCGTTTTCATGACGGATTAGTGTGGACGGTAGACTTAACCGTAGAAGTAAAACTGGTTTTCAAATTTTTTCTTTTTGGACGGGGCCTTAATTAATGTCGCCAGTTTTGGAATTTCAGTAGTACGTATTTATTTTTCCCATCTGTCAACTCTGTATTGAAATTGCAATGATAAAGTATATTTTGCTATTAATCGCAAGTTATTACATTTAACCCCACGTAACTCGCAAAATAGAAAGTGTTTGCACTTGCGGAAGATAATTTCTTCTTTTATTACAATTAATATCAAAATGGCTATAGAAACCTGTTAGCTTTTCAACAGAGCTGATTTTCGTCCAAGCTCTTTTCTCGATTGGCAAAAATGTGCTAGTGACAACTAAGGAAACCTTTGGCGCGAACAGTCAAAGCCGTTTTTCACAGTTATAAAGGTAATTTAATAAGAACTCGCAAAATTATAACCATAATCTCACACACGCGCTTAATCAAAAAGTTTAAGTTACAATTTAACTTACAACCCGTTAAATTATCGTTTTAGTCGTTCTTTCTAGAGCTAGTACTTATTGTCTACGTTTGCACCTGTAACAAAATACATAACGTTTTTATGTTTGTCCATTCGCCACCGCCAAATACTATTAATGCTATTAATAGCTTAATTTTTGGCAAGATGGCAAATAATCCCGAATAGAAGATTAATTTCATATTCAATTATATTTTCCGAAGTCATAACATTATTCAGCTGGTCTAAATAAGCATCATGAAAGAAAAAAAAAACTTATATTTCTTTTATATTTATATCTCTATATATTTTTTTATCTTTCTACCTCTTCTTTTCTTTATATTTCCTACAACCGATTTAAAGCGTAATAATTCTTGTATCTACTCAGCTCGTTTAGTTTTTACTATTTTGAGTAGTTTTTTTTGCTTATTTTTAAAAGTTTAATGTATTCTTTTGCTGAATGATATTCTCTGTACCATGCAAAATAAAATGGTTGTTTTTGTTGAGTTCATTATATTAGAGTCAGTTTTTTGAATACCCTGTTTTTCCTTTGTCGGCGGGCTAGTGAAAAACCTTAGGCACCATCCACACTACGCCAGAGAAATTGAAAACACGGCTTGATTGCTACAGTCAGGCCTACCGTCCACACTAATCCGTCACGAAAACGGAGCTTTTCGAAAACGCTCTTCAAACCGGAGGAATNAATCCGGAATAGAAGATTAATTTCATATTTAATTATATTTTCCGAAGTCATAACATTATTCAGCTGGTCTAAATAAGCATCATGAAAGAAGGAAAAACTTATATTTCTTTTTATATTTATATCTATATATATTTTTTCTCTTTCTACCTCTTCTTTTCTTTATATTTCCTACAACCGATTTAAAGCGTAATAATTCTTGTAACTACTCAGCTCGTTTAGTTTTTTCTATTTTGAGTAGTTTTTTTGCTTATTTAAGTTTAATGTATTCTTTTGCTGAATGATATTCTCTGTATTATGCAAAATAAGATGGTGGTTGTTGTTGTTGTTGTTGAGTTCATTGTATTAGAGTCAGTTTTTTAAATACCCTGTTTTTCCTTTGTCGGCGGGCTCGTGAAAAACCTTAGGCACCATCCATACTACGCCAGAGAAATTGAAAACACGGCTTGACTGCTACAGTCAGGCCTACTGTCCACACTAATCCGTCACCAAAACGGAGCTTTTCGAAAACGCTCTTCAAACCGGAGGAATTTGAAAACGCCGGCTTTCCGTTTTCGTGTGGACGGAAAACATTTTGAAAACGGAGTTTTTCGGAAACGATAGCGTCCCGATAATCATGTGACTTCTCTGACCGAGTTTTGATACTCCTTTATTTAGCGTCTTTGCAAATGTTCCTTAAGGTTTTCCCAGGAAGTATCTTCCTCCATTGCTGTTTTCTGCTTCCCTTCTCCTTTTCTCCTCACTCATCTTTTACCTGCTCCTTTTACTTTCCCATCTGTCTACCTTCCTCTTTCTACACCATCCTAACCTATTTATTTCCTTTACTCTCCTTCTTTTCTCCTGTCCTCTTTACGTGTATTTCTTTTATTTTGAATTAGGTTGAAGTCGGGTATATCCATCGAGGAAATTCCGAGAATACTAAGTCACTGAGAGCACAAGATGTAACTGGAAGTCACTCCGTTCGCTCGCATTTCTCTCTTTTTTTCTGTTCTTTTCTTATGAAAGAAGTTTTTTTTTACGACAGAGCCGGTCTCGGTCCATGAATCCACTGATTATTGACAGTGATGCACTAATAAAGTAACCGAGAAGCTAAGGGTCGTTTTAAAACGTATTGTACATGGCAGAACTCACTATCTCTTTTCTGATTGCCGAAAGCGTACAGTGAATTTTCGAAATCAGCGCCTGTGACGTCATAACTGCAGCTTTTACAATGCTCATGTCAAGGACACTCAAGGTCACGGGTAATCATGTCATGTATGACCGCGGTGCACAATTTCTAAGGGTAATCATGTCAAGTTCGCGCGCTTTGTGTTGCTTGCCGTCAGTGAAAAAGCAAAAGACTTCCATTTTTTTTCCGTTCAATGTATAATAAAACAATTATTAGATTCGGGTTTTGTGATATCCATAATAATCAAGGTCTCGGTACGGGTTATCAGCCTCAGGCTTCGGCTTCGCCTGACAACCCCTATCTCGACCTTGATTATTCTGGATATCACAAAAACCTCATCCAACAATTGTTTATAATTAGCCGATTATACGTGACGATTATATTTGCAGAGGCAACTTAATTGATCAATTTCCGTATGAGGTTGGCAAGCCATGCTCCAAATGCGCCTCTGGAAAAGGATTTTGCTACAAGAATCTTTGTAGTAAGTATGTTTTTGTTTTTTTTACACGTTGTCTTGCAAGAGTTAACTACATAGCTTGATAGTTAATAATTTCACTTTGTCTCATTGTTATCGAAACTATATCTCATCTCTTGTAGGAGATTGCGATGATTTTGACCAAGAATGCGGTAAATCGCTCACATTAGCCATGTGTACCGCTTTTGAGGATATCATGGCCAAGAAATGTCCAAAAATGTGTAACTTGTGTGGTAAGTAAAAACATATTGTCAGTTTTCGTGTGCCGCAGTAAGTGTCAGTGGCTTACAGTAGTTTTCAATTGAGTGTTGTAACACCAAAACCAAACCGATTACTTGCCAGTAGAAATGAGCAAAAAAACTCATATCATGCATGACACTATGACGATAAGCTAAATATGAGGTAAATAGTCGCTGGTTTGCTAAACGTTCATCTACTGAAGAAGGGCTGAGCCCGAAACGTATAGCAAGGCAGCTACTATTTGACACTTTAAAGAGCCTTCATCTTCAGTTACTTACCAGTTCGACTACTCAGTCATTCTCAAACCGTTGTCAAAACAAAACAAAACAAAACAAATTCAAAGTTATTGCCTGATTGCTTTCGACACTCAATTCAAAACGCTCTAAAGAGTTAACTTCCTAGTGACGAATTCTGGCTGGAGCTCAGTCTCTCCAGGGTCATTGTGCAGTGTTCTCAGACAAGAGACTTTGCTATCACAGTGCCTTTATCCATTCCGGAGAATAAAATGGCGCCGGCAAATTGTTGGGG